GTAGAGAGGACATTAACACAGGGTATTTACGCATCTCTCCTTGCCAATCAGCAGCTAATTTGCTGGTCTCTGTGTCTCCGTGAAAGATATTTCTAGATTATCTTCGCAGACATACATAAATTCCCCTTTCTACGCCAACAAGATTTCTGTCTTTTGGTTTTAATACTTAATTTCCTTTATTATCTAGATATTTCATTTTTAAACCTGTCTGCTTTCCCATATCACGCTTTATACTCAATTTCTAAGATACACTTCAATCAAGATTTTTTAAGCATATAAAAAAATGCTAAACATTTTATAAAAAAACATTCTTATGAAATATCTACCTTCCAGGGCTGCCATGGAAGTTCAAATATATGAAAAATAGAAACAAAAAAACCCACATAATTTGAATATGCAATCTATTAATTTAGATAACACAGTGGGGTTGATTTACTGAAACCGGAGAGTACCAAATTTGCTGCAGCTGTGCATGTTAGCCAATCAGCTTCTAACTTCAGCTTGTTCAATTATGTTTTGACAAAAAAAAAAAAATCTGGAAGCTGACTGGTTTCTATAGAGAGCTGCAACAGATTTTGCACTCTTCTGTTTAGGCAAATCAACCCCAGTGTGTTGGTCCAAATAAGTTATTTTTATAGAACTATGTATGAGGTTGAATGAGCTGTAATAATGTACACAAGACCAAAACTGGCCACACACTTTACAATCAGCAAAGATCGAATCAGGAGGATTAGCGATTCATAATTTTTTTTGTGTTAACATTTGCAAGCAGATCTATTTGATTTGCAAAGATTTACATAATTAAGGAATCCAGGCAATATTGGTCTTACTGTATGTATTTGCATGGTTAAGACACATATTTTGAGCTAACCCCCTCATTTATCACTAATTAAATTATCTTTTATTGGCTTTCAACCTACAGTCAGGTCCATAAATATTGGGACATCAACACAATTCTAACATTTTTGGCTCTATACACCACCACCACAATGGATTTGAAATGAAACGAACAAGATGTGCTTTAACTGCAGACTGTCAGCTTTAATTTGAGGGTATTTACATCCAAATCAGGTGAACGGTGTAGGAATTACAACAGTTTGCATATGTACCTCCCACTTGTTAAGGGACCAAAAGTAATGGGACAGAATAATAATCATAAATCAAACTTTCATTTTTAATACTTGGTTGCAAATCCTTTGCAGTCAATTAAAGCCTGAAGTCTGGAACGCATAGACATCACCAGACGCTGGGTTTCATCCCTGGTGATGCTCTGCCAGGCCTCTACTGCAACTGTCTTCAGTTCCTGCTTGTTCTTGGGGCATTTTCCCTTCAGTTTTGTCTTCAGCAAGTGAAATGCATGCTCAATCGGATTCAGGTCAGGTGACTGGATTTGGCCATTGCATAACATTCCACTTCTTTCCCTTAAAAAACTCTTTGGTTGCTTTTGCAGTATGCTTTGGGTCATTGTCCATCTGCACTGTGAAGCGGCGTCCAATGAGTTCTGAAGCATTTGCCTGAATATGAGCGGATAATATTGCCCGAAACACTACAGAATTCATCCTGCTGCTTTTGTCAGCAGTCACATCATCAATAAATACAAGAGAACCAGTTCCATTGGCAGCCATACATGCCCACGTCATGACAATACCACCACCATGCTTCACTGATGAGGTGGTATGCTTAGGATCATGAGCAGTTCCTTTCCTTCTCCATACTTTTCTCTTCCCATCACTCTGGTACAAGTTGATCTTGGTCTCATCTGTCCATAGGATGTTGTTCCAGAACTGTGAAGGCTTTTTTAGATGTCTTTTGGCAAACTCTAATCTGGCCTTCCTGTTTTTGAGGCTCACCAATGGTTTCCATCTTGTGGTGAACCCTCTGTATTCACTCTGGTGAAGTCTTCTCTTGATTGTTGACTTTGACACACATACACCTACCTCCTGGAGAGTGTTCTTGATCTGGCCAACTGTTGTGAAGGGTGTTTTCTTCACCAGGGAAAGAATTCTTCGGTCATCCACCATAGTTGTTTTCCGTGGTCTTCCGGGTCTTTTGGTGTTGCTGAGCTCTCCGGTGCGTTCCTTCTTTTTAAGAATGTTCCAAACAGTTGTTTTGGCCACACCTAATGTTTTTGCTATCTCTCTGATGGGTTTGTTTTTGTTTTTTCAGCCTAATGATGGCTTGCTTCACTGATAGTGACAGCTCTTTGGATCTCATCTTGAGAGTTGACAGCAACAGATTCCAAATGCAAATAGCACACTTGAAATGAACTCTGGACCTTTTATCTGCTCATTGTAATTGGGATAATAAGGGAATAACACACACCTGGCCATGGAACAGCTGAGAAGCCAATTGTCCCATTACTTTTGGTCCCTTAACAAGTGGGAGGCACATATGCAAACTGTTGTAATTCCTACACCGTTCACCTGATTTGGATGTAAATACCCTCAAATTAAAGCTGACAGTCTGTAGTTAAAGCACATCTTGCTTAATTTCAAATCCATTGTGGTGGTGTATAGAGCCAAAAATGTTAGAATTGTGCTGATGTCCCAATATTTATGGACCTGACTGTAAATGTAATTGTAAATTTACATTTAAAATTTTTAATGTTATAAATAATTTGTGTGGCCACATTAGAATATACTCATGCTTTTCTCCGTGCTTTGAAAAAGATTTTAGACTTTTAAATTGAATTTCACATGACAATTTAGGAGTCAGTGGTATTTACTGGGAATTTTCTGCAGTGACAAATGAGGATCTGAGAAATACTAAAGTCATGTTCTGTGCTACTAAATATTTTGGGCACATTCCAATAAGCACTAAATAAAAGATATGTATTGCATTTTTTGTTGTTGTTTTCCCCCCCCCCCCCCCCCCCCCGCGCTGGTCTTTTTAAATTTCAACAATAAACTGGTAAATGAGAATGTGTGTAACTAGGGTGGAGACATTAGATTCACTAGGGCAGGCGCTGGTGTAAAGGGTTCTATGTTCCCAGAGAACCTCTGGATAACAAAGCTATACACACATGGGAAATAAATACTAATAAACCTGGATTAAAGTGTCAGTAAGATGCCAGTGAATAGACACATCTTCTCAAATGTCTATGCAGGTTATCAGTGAATGAATAGAATTGACTTCATGAAAATGACTGCCCATTATTACTATGGTAATATAAATATATTTCTATATAAAAAAAGCTCTATTATTTAACAATGCAACAATAATGAACAGAAAAAGAATCCACCAATAGACATTACAATTTGGTCACATGATCAGATTTTATCTTGGGAAGCCATCCATTTTTCTTTCAGCACTTCAAAAATGCCTTTATGTTAAACAAAGTCCAATAGATTAAAGATAAATTCCAGGTGGATATTAAATCACCAATCAATACAATAATATATTTATTAAAATAATTACGTTTATTTTTAAATTTAACTTGTGTAGGTACCTGAATTTTTCTTTGTGTTAGCCTCTTGTAACCCACTAGGCAGTAAATAGTAGAGATGGGTAGAGGGAGGGGCAAAACAAGGAGTCAATATTACTTTGGGAAGCCATCCACAGCTTCCCGCTGTGCATTGGACATGAGGACATCAAGGGAAAGTTCACCGCTAGAAAATGAGATCTGCTGGGGGAGTGGAGGATCAGAGCTGGTCAGCATTTTTTACTCTTTCCATGTGCTTCCTGCTGTGCCCTCTTGCTCCGCTGGCTGCTGGTTCTGTTCTGAAATGATCATTCATTTAGTCCAGTGTCATTCAATTAGTTTTTTTTGTGAGCCCAAACTGAAATTTACACTCCCCCCCCATAGTGCGTCATCATGCACCTTGGACAAGAGTATACTGTATATAACAGCATTCTGCTCCTAACATGTAATCCCAAGTTTCATGTATGTACAGTATGCTTTTTTTTTTTTTCAATTGATGATTTCTGGGAGAGATGGATGGCTGAGAAGGTTCTGTCTAAGCTTGAATAAAATGTTTTATATTATTATAGTGATATAAAACAGTCCACTAAGCACCAACAGTAAAATGTTATTTTAGATCTTAAAATCAATTGTAGTTATATTTCAACGCAACTGTGCCAATAGAAAAGATCATTGATGTCAGGAACTGCAATAGAATAGGGCAAATGTACAACCATGGAGATGCCACAAGATCTATTCAAACAACACGGTACTATGAAGCTAAATATCTTGAGACCAGGGGCGGACTGACCATTTGGAAACTCGGGCACTGCCTGAGGGCCCGTGGTCAGTAGGGGGCCCCATGAGATGCCCCTGGTACCTTTTTAATAGGCTTTTTTGAGTTTGGGCAAGGGCACAGGGGCCCCATGATCCCCTATTGCCCGGGGGCCCCATGAGTTGTCAGTCCGCCCCTGCTTGGGACTCAAATAAGGATGTGGCAAGGAAACTGCGTTTGCTCTTTCCATTATACAGCAGAAGATGCTGAACTTCCTGCTAGGAGAGATCAACAGCACTTGCTCACTTTATGAATGCCATCTCTAAAACTGGCCGCACACTGTTATTTTATCTTATTTTTTTAACCACTTACCCTTCTTAGGATTTATCCCCCTTCCTGACCAGGCCATTTTTCTTGTGTTATGGTGCTGCATTACTTTAACTAACAATTGCGTGGTCATGCAATGCTGCACCCAGATGAAATTTGTCATTTTTTTCCCCACAAATTGAGCTTTCTTTCAGTGGTATTTGATTGCCTGTGCGTTTTTCATTTTTTCGCTATAAAAAAAGGCCCATAATTTTGAGAAAAAAACCCATATTTTTTACTTTTTAATAAACATGTCCAGTAAAAAAATTAAAAAAAATTTCATCATAAATGTAGGCCAAAATGTTTTCTGCTACATGTCTTTGCTAAAAAAAAAATCCCAATACGTGTAAATTAATTGGTTTACGTGAAATTTATAGCATTTACAAATGGCGGTATATATACTGGAATTTCTTTTTCTACTAGTAATGGTGGCGATCAGCGACTTATAGCGGGACTACGGGACTGTGGCGGGCATTCTGGCACTGGGGGGAATTGACTTGGTGTCACTGACATCCCCAGTGACACAAATAGAGTGATCAGTGCTAAAAAAAAAAGCACTGACACTGTACTAATGACACTGGGAAGGAAGGGGTTAACATGAGGGGTTATCAAAGGGTTAACTGTGTGCTGGGAGTGTTTTAATGGGGGGCGGCGTGTCGGTGCTGTAAGCACACTGCTCTGGATGGCTGTGCAGAACAGTGTGCCCAAGCCGACAGTGAGGAGGACTGTTAGTAAACAAAGCAGCCCTCCTCCCCATTGGAGATCCTCGGTAATCACCGGGCGCCGGCAGGTAATCACTGGCCTGGACCTGGTGAATGACAGCCGCGGCCGCGAATAGTGGAGCAGGTAGGGCATGCGCCCCCTACCCAGAAATGCAAAATCATGTATATATACGTGATTTTGCACACCCCTGCCACCCTGTAGCAGTATGTCTGCTATAGGACGGCAGGGAAGCGGTTAATTAATGCGTTAGTTGAACAGATTCTTCCATTCACACAAACAAGATGGTTAAAGGAATCATCCATTCTTCTCCCATCAACCCTTCCCCAATGCCCCCATTCCTCCTGCAAATCCAAAGTATTTAGACAGCCTGACCCACTACTGTCCATTGAAGACACGGATGAGAGGCTGCAGTCTTTGATTAAGAAAATTTTTCCAACAAGTCCCTTCTACAAAAGGCAATCAAGTGATCAACAGAAGTTAAGCAGGGGTGGCCACACATTGATCAAAATTCAGCAGAGACCAGCTGGATTACAGCAGTGTATGCCCAGCTTAAACCTATTAGTCTCTGTGATCTAGAGATAGGGGTGGGTAGGGGAGGCATGTTCATCCTGTGATTCCTTCAGCTATGCGTGTATTGTAAGCAGAGCTGAAAGACAGGATATCAAATTATAGCCTTGCATCGAAATGATATAGCACAAAGTGTAAGAACTGAATTGAAAGAAACACATATGCTTGAGATTTCAGTGCAGCAGAGGCACATGGTCCTATTTATTTGAAGCAAATAGGCTGTTCACTTTGCAAGGGAATTTCCCTTAGCTTAGCAAATGAGATGAAGCTCTGCTAAATGCTATCACCCAATCATGTGCAAGCAAACAATTTGCTTTTTTATGTTCTGTGCGCATAATATTTCTTGTAAAGTAAGCAAATGAAAAATTCCTCTGCAAAGTAAAAATTCTTTTGCAAAATTAACAGTTTGTTTGTCTTTATAAACTCAACCTTTACTATGTTGTCCATTTACATAGGAAATTTGGAGATCACAGGATTTCTGCAGATCAACAGCAGTTCTGTTTATACTTGCAGAATTTTTAAAAGGATAAAACATGTAGTAATGGGTATATATTGCAGAGATGTACCAAATATTTTTTTTTTACATTTTTCATTGACATACCCTTCACCTGCAGTGAGTCAAATGACTGCTATCCATTACCCTAGAATTTGGAAGAAGTGTATTCCCAGAAGTGGCAATAGAATGAACCCTTTTATGAATACAGTACTTTGATATCTGCAGGCCTGGAAAAGTGGACAGCTGAAATAGTCTGAGACCCGAAGTGGCTGGGTTCTAGAGGGCCAACATTTTTATCTTTCATAATTCCTTTACTGTGTGTCTTATGTGGGTATAAAGTGGGAAAAATGGCAAATTACCATTTAGTAAAATGTAGAATACGTTTGTATATTATTTGAAAACTATGTGGTTACACATGCAGATGGTGATTGGAAAGAGGTACAATAAAGTTGGTCTAGGATGGCACACGATGGAAATTTAATAAAATGCCCAGGAATGCTTTAGGGTATATATGGCCTACTGATAGCTATAAATCTTTTAAAAACTTTTTTTGAAGTCAGCATTATTACTATTTAGGCACACGTTGTTGTCTCTCGTCTCATCACTGACAATCTCCTGTCTCATAACAATCAAGCCATTATCAGGGAAACATCAATTTTAAATTAAAATCTACATGGAGAGATTCCCAACTCTACCCGCGGTTCAATGTGTTTGTGTGTGTTTTTTTTTCCTTTTTTTCATTGCTCCTTAATATCCCCATTTCCAATTTAGTGTATAAATAATTGGAGCAGCCTCATAAAAAAACACCAGTGCCTATCTCCCAGGAGCCATGTAAAAGTCTACTTTTAAATGCTCCTTAATCACCGCCCCGTTATAAAATTACCATAGTAATGAGCTTTAAATGGAGCCTCCTCGATTTTTAATTAAGCTCCCAGCAGGTTACAGAATGAATAAATATATAAATGTACGAAACAGGTTATTGAAGACTTTTGTGAGTCGCTTTTCTGCTATCTTTGGTGTAACCCCTGCAATGCCTTCAGGTGTCTATTGGTGCCTGTACATGTGTGGATTTGGTGCCAAATTAGGTAGACCAAATCTGCCAATAAATGAATTGTGTATGGATGAATCTGAATAGGTATCATGGGTTATTTTTTGCATTCCTCTGGATCTGTAGGAGTTCTCTATGAGATTCAATCATGAAAAAATTTACATTTTTAGTTTCCAAACCCACCTGAGCTATCCTGCCAGGAAGCTATGAAAGCGGGCAGCCAGTCATAAGTGAGGAAGGCTGCTTATGATTGGCTGTCTGTTCTGATAGCTTTGTGGTGGGATAGCTCAGGCGAGTTCAGACTTGCATCATCCCTTATATATGTGCAGTTCGTTTCATTCTGAATTTTTCATTATTCAGATATCTACAAATTTCTGAATTACAATGGTAACGATTCCGAAATAATGAAACGAAATTTGGAAGAAGGTCGAAATCGAATCAAATTTGATTTGAATACCAAAAGAATAGAATAGAACATAAAATAATAGATTAGAATAAAATATAAAAAGAACAGAATAGACAATAAAATGATTGAATAGATAAGAATAAAATAGAAAAACAATAAAATAGAATACAGTATAACAGAATACAATACAATACAATATAAAATAATATAATAGACAATACAAGATTAGAATATAATAGAATAGAATAGAATAAACAATAGAATAGAGCAAAGAAAATAACGGTCTTCTGAAATTTGAATTTCGAATAGAATAAATTTGAATAGAATAGAAAAGAATGGAAGATAATAGTATATAAAATAATAGAATAGAAAAGAATACAATAAAATAGAAAAGAATACAATAGAAAAAGCAATAGAATAGAATAAATTAGAATATAACTGTCTTCCAAAAATGCAAATTTTGAATAGAATAGATTGAAATAGATTACAAAAGAATAGAATAGATTCAAATAGAACAGAATACAAAAACAATGGAATAGATTAAAATAAAATATAATTGTCTTCCGAAATTTTAATTTCAAATAGAATAAATTCAAATTCGAATAGAATAGATTCAAATAGAATAGAATAAAATATAAAAAAAATTGAATATAACTTAATAGAATAAAATATAATATAACTGTCTTCTAAAATTAAAACTTGAAATCAAATAGATTAAAATAGAATAGAAAAGAATAGAATATAAAGGAATAGAATAGAAAAAATAAAATAGAATGGAGTGAAATAAAATAAAATAGAATCATCTTCCGAAATTCAAATTTCGAATAGAATACATTAGAATTCGAATGCCGATTTGAATTTTTCGAATTCGATTGATTTGAATTTGATTAGAATCGAATTAGAAAATGAAATGAATTCAGAAAATTAACTAAACAAATTAAATGAATTTAACGAAACAAAATAATTTAAATAACAACTATTTTTTTTTTGTTCTGCATATGTCTATCATCCCTAACCACCTATTTGATAAGTTTTTGCAGAAGAGATAGAGATAGGATGTGTGGAGTATAAACACATCTATATTTTTTGGAAAGCAACTATTATGACTGTATAGATGTAGGGCCAAATCTGTTTATCCCCAACATGCTCACCTTGATCTGTACAGAGAAAAGAATACGTCCATTTTACAGCTACAGCTGAATGCTGAACAAAAGAAATCTAACAGATTTTTTTCTTTTTTTTATCATATCTTTATTAATTTTGTAATACAAACTCCACTTTATATCAAACATCATAAAATACAAAAAAAATATATATATTTAACTTTCCCCCTCACCCTATTAAACCCCTCCCCTACCCTCCCACCTCCTGAAATCCTCTTAATCCTTTCATTTACTTCTTGTTCTTCTGATATTGTTCTGTCTGGCTTTTTTCCCCTCTTACCCCTTTCCTTCTCTCTATCATTTCTATACTATTAATCCTTCACCATTTATTTTCTTTTTCCATTACACTCCAACCACTTCTAAAAATCTTTGGATTTCTTGAATTTATGCCATTCTTCCCAGGATTTTTTTTAAATGTTTTAATTTTATCATCATATAATCTATATGATATAATGCCTCCATCTTATATATATACTCGACTTCATTATTTTTTGGGGGGGTTGTTTTTTTTTGGGGATTGTTTGCCAGGATTCAGGCATAAGACTTTTGGACGCATTTAGGAGATGGAACAGTATCCCATTTTTATATTGTTTCACCGAGAGCTTTGATTTGTTGAATAAGCAAACCCACAGATCTAACGGTATACTAATCTTCAATATCTCTTGTATGTGTTGAATTATCCCCTGCCAGAACTCTGTTTTTTTTGGACAATCCCACCAAATATGTGCCATTGTACCCTTATTCCCACATCTCCTCCAACACTGGGGTGAGACCTCTGGTCTTAGCTTATGCATCACGTTAGGTATAATCTTAACATATTTCTCTATCCACACTAAACAACATTGGTGGACAAATCTCCCACTATTTTACTCTGACAGCCGACTCTATCAGCTTTCAGTACATCCAAACAGTGCCTGCATCTGATTGGATGCAGGGTCCCTTTAGCCGACAATTTTCCATTTGCCTTTTTGGATTTTTTGATAGAAGGATGTCGGGTGGAATGGTACAGACTGAGCCCCCCACTGATTGAATTCCAAGTGGTTCATCAAAAAATTGGCCAAAATTCACTCATTGTATGGCCAGCTTTAGTATACACCAAAATTCAGCTACTTGATTAAAGGATTAGATAGTCATATCTCAAAGTACCAGATACAACCAGATATGACCATCTCAGCTGCACAAAAGGCTGTAAAAAATTATTTGTACTGTGAATACATTCAGACAGATACAGCTATTGCATGACAGGAGTTTCCATCCCAAGCCTTTGATATCCAAATAGATATGTGAATAGGTCTCAGGTTCAGGCAAGGGTAATTCTACATGTGTTCCACACGACACATGTCTGTCAACTTGGACTTCAGTAAATATAAAATAAAAACATATTGTAAGTTGCTGAGAATTTGGCAACAAATGAGGCAACTTCGATTATTAACTGCTAATACCTTTCTCTCTAAGCAACACACAAAAGGTTCCAAATCA